AGAGAGAGAGAGAGAGAGAGAGAGAGAGAGAGAGAGAGAGAGAGAGAGAGAGAGAGAGAGAGAGAGAGAGAGAGAGAGAGAGAGAGAGAGAGAGAGGGAGAGAGGGAGAGGGAGAGAGAGAGAGGGAGAGAGAGAGAGAGGGGGAGAGAGAGAGAGAGAGAGAGAGAGAGAGAGAGAGAACAGAGAGAGAAGGGAAAGAGAAGAGTAATAAAAAACTGGCTAAGGTCAAATCGGAGACAATACATGCACACGTATTCAATATACTGTACATGTAAAATTCACCATTCTGTCCATGCATGACACACGACTACAAAATCATTCATACAATAAAATTTACCGATTACTTCATCAAATAAAATTAAATCATCATGTACATGTACATTACATGCACATATGATACCTTTGCACAAGTATCATAAAAGTTGGAGAGCATTTCCAGAGCTCTTCCTTTAGTATAGAAACTGATGATGTTTTTCATCACAGTTGGATTACTCCTCCAATCCAGCGACTGGAGATAATTGGCAGCCATTATGTATATCTCCTTCTGCCTTGAGACATTAGCAAAGAACACTACCCTCTCAGTATCACCTGACTTCAATAATGCCTTCATTGCCTATACAGCATCAATAATAATGACGAAACAAAAACAACTCTTCTATTAAATAATAACGATATGTAATTTAATAATAATGGCACTGTAATAATAAGCAATAAAAACATGTTTTTAAGGAGAAAATAAATAAACAGAGCTGTACATAGAGCATCACAATACAATAGACTCAATATCCATTACACACATTAATGTAATGTCTAATACTGAATGGGCATAGTTTATACTCTATTGTAAAGCATTGGCACTCCAATGAATGGAACTTGAGCTATTATGATACATAGTAATATGTGCCCCATGTGTGTGTGGTGGTGCGTGCTTAGTAATCAAACCTTTACAAACAAACACACATACTCACATACATGCACATACGTAAAACTAGCTACAAGATAAACTGGTTGCATTGGTGATACGCAACAATTTAGAGAACAATTTAGACGTAAAGAAATGAAGACACGCAGTCATAATGAGTGACCAGCATATTCTTCATTTGTACAGGAAATATATCAAATTCCAATAAAATAGCAAAGAAGACTATTATAGTGTGTGGTAGGTATACAATGTATAGTATACTGACCTGAAGCTTGTTGCTAGCTTGAGTGTACTTCATTGCTGCTAAGTGGTAAGATCCTTGGGAGACTAGGCCATCAGCTAAAGCATTTAACTGTTTCACTCTTTCATTTGTTTCCTCAACAGTCTCTGTCATTATAATAATAATAATACACAGCCAAATATATTCAGGCCTGATTCAAAATGTTGCCCAAAATTAATGACTCAAGCCTGATATCAGGCCTGGTACATCCCTGTTGGCTACCATTGCTGAATCATGAAAGTTGGTCTGGCCTGATCCAGTATACATGTAGATGCTAATCATGCCTGTACCGTGGCTGACGTGATTGTATTAGGACTGATTACCCAAAATCCATGGTCCATGCCTGACATCAGGCCTGATCAACGTGATTATATTTGGCTGTGTACATACATGTATATTTAATAAAGGAGATTAAGGTAATAAAAATTAATAATAATTAACCATTTTCAGCAGGTGACGGTGTTAGCTTCTCTGCTAGCTCTTCATTGATGATAACATTATATCGTAGACACATCTCAAGAGCTTCGGATAACTGTAACAATAATAACGACATTTAAAAACACCCACACATCTATCAAACCAGCAAATACATGTACATGTAAATGAATATGGGACTCAAGGGGCTATCAAGTAAAAATTGATACTTTTATTGGATTACATTTTAAAAATTTTTAGTGTCAGGCAGTCATGTGCACTTTGACATGTAATATGGACTGTTGTACGAGTTGCTATAGCAACCAGAGGTGACAAATTAACGATACGAATCCAGCCAATTGTATTACTGTCAAAGTTATAAATACATGTGCATGTATAAGTATAAAATAATAAAAATAAACAATTAGAAGTTGTTAGGGAGAATACTACAATGCATAGTAGTACTATGATATGCCTTATAAGGCAAACCTGATTGATGATAGAAAGGAAATAGAAGCAGAGAGAGAGATGGGGGAAGTGAGATAAATGAAGTTAGTAAGAAGAAGGACCGACAAGGTCCAGATTAATAATTGATAAAAGAATCACAAAATGAACAGCAACATTGATATCAATACGTGTGATCAAACACAACAATACACACACAGCATGACTATCAATCCTCAATTACATGTACATGTACTACATTTACACCAGATGACCCTCACTTTAGTCTCCCTTACTTTATGACTCTGCAGCAACATTTGTACAGCCTTCTCAAACTGCTCTTGTTGTATGAAGTATTCAGCTACTCTACGAACAGTCTCTGGGTTAGTTGACTCAGTCAGCTCTTCTGCTATCTGTTGCAATACCTCATACTGGCGATACTGGAAGCATAACTCAAGAGCTTTAGACAGTTCACCAGCCTATGGAAGAGAGAGGGAGAGAGAGAGGGGGGAGAGAGAAAGAAAGAACAAAAGAATATAGAACTAATGCTGTAATAGCCAATAGCCATTCCTACATGCATATAAATATATACCACTATCTTACTCTGTGATATAGTAAAATGGCATTTTCTTTTGAATCAGATTTTGTCTCAAAGTATCTAAAAACAACATTAATGCATGATAATTATATAAATATGATTATTTATTATTTACTAAATATGATTATTTATTATTTACTAACTTTGCTGCATCAATTTTGTCTTCTGTTGTGCTAAGCAATGCCAGATTCATCAGTTCTGCTTCCATGCCAAAATCCTAACATACACAAGTCCATCAATATGTGTACATGTACATCATATTTTATACCTTAGTTACTGTGATGGCATGACTGTAACACTTAGCCATTGTGTAGAAACGGACAGCTTTCTTAACACGATACCACTAGAAGAGCCGAGAAGTAGAAGAGAAAGCAGAACAGTAACACAAAAAACAATAATAAACGTGTATTACATGTATACATGCATGTACATGTACATACATGTATGTACATTGTACATGCATACATGTACTTACGTCTTCCGATTGTGCAAATACTCTAGCAACATGATAAGCGGCAGCCTTGTCTTTGGTCTCTTCAACAACCTTGATAGCTTCTTCAGTGTCCCCCATGAATATGAGTAGTCTTGCGACAGAGCGATAGTCCTCACAGGCCCTGTACTGATCAATGGCACCGTCAAGATCACCACTGCACTCTAAATGTTCTGCCCAGTAATGCTGGACTTCCCTAGTGAGAAAAAAAGGAAAGATTAACAAAGAAAATACAATGCACATATACATGTAGAGGTACACACATTTACACAATGTATACAGTCAAACCTCTCTAAGACGGACACCTATGGGCCAGCCATCACTGTCCTTTATACGGAGGTGTCCTTAAACCGGAGGTTATCCCATGCTAATCAGACCAGAAAATCTGCCATTTTCTAGATGTGCATTAATTAGAAAGTCCATTGTGTGGGCCATGTTCATCCGTTGGAGGTTAATTTGTACACGTGTAGATGTGTGGGGACAATAAATCTTGTTGGTTATACAGAATAGAGAGGTTCTGCTATAAGAGGTTCTTTTATATACTACCCAATGGCTTTATGGCCAGGACAAGAGCAACTGTATGTTATAGAGAGGTGTTCACTAATTGGGGGTCCGTTTTAGAGAGGTTTGACTGTATATAGAATGATTTCAATCTTGCATTAAGATGTATGTGTAAATACACATGTACATCAAGAGTACATTGTATACATACTTGTCTTGTGCCCTTAGATTATATTCTGATAAATCCTCTGGATCATTTATTAACATACGAACCACCTCAAATCTGTGGGTACCAGACTGCTCATAACTATAAAATAAATAATAATAATAATAATAATGGTATTATTATTATTATTATTATTATCATTATAGTTAATAATGCTGTACCTCTTTATTGCACTTTTTATTTCTCCAACACTCTCAGAATGTTTTGCCAGATTATAATAAGTGTTCTTAAGGTGAAGCCTGTCATTAAGCTCAGCCACTTCTACTGCCTGCAATTAAAATGGAAAAAATAAACACAAGTACGTACAAGTATGGCATGCATTAATTGTTTTACAAGCTTCTACTGTCTGCAATAAAAATGTATTTGGAAATAAAATAATAAACACAAGTACATGTACATGTACATGTATTGGGTGTATTAATCATTTTAAAAGGAAAAGGAGAGAGAGTTAGCCTGTAAGGAAATCACTAACAGTTGCAACATGACCACATAGACAAACAATCCTCATATATGTACATGTACATGCAATATGGTATATGATATAGTATTACCCACCACACACACTGGGGCTGTTCAATATGAAACACAGACACACACGCTCCATACAAAGAGATAGGGAGACAGATTACAGTCTACAGCTTAAGTCATCATAACAAATGAGGCTCATCTGCCATTACTATATACTACCACCAGTACAAGCTATAGTAATATTACACTAGCAATACAAATGTATGAAGAGATAGTTATTCTAGAAACACAGATACATTCAGAGTGGGGGTAGATCACACACACAGATATACACTCAAGGAGAGAGGTCACTAGTGGACACACACACATATATACACACACACATACACACACACACACGCTTGCTAATTTTAAGGGCACAATAACAATCACAATAACAATGTACATGTGCACTGAGAATTATAAAATAATAACATTTTACAAACAGGAAGGATGTGCGAGTACATACGTACACATAATATCATGGTGCCTAATGCATTATTTAATGAATGTCCATTCACATCATCATCACATGTACACATACACACACACACAGAGGCTATTACCCAGTACAGCTGTTACTATGAGAGGAAGAAGGATATAAAGGAAACAGATGCTGCCAATGTGGCTCAAGCTATCCATTGTAAAGGAATAAGAAGAAAGGGTTTAAAATCACTTATAGTAATTTTAATTACATTTTAATTCATATATAATTTGTACCTTTTGCCATCGTCCGGAATTTTGATAAAATTGATTTAATAAATCATAGCGACCACTGGACAGGAACAACTCTTCCGCTGTGTCCTAACAAAAGAGGATGAAAGAAAGGAAAGAGAAAGGGGGAGCCATAACTAATACGCACGAAATGTACATGTACATGTGTAGATGTACATGTACATGTACATGTACATGTACATGTACATGTCGGCAAGAAAGGAAACATAATAAAAATTACATTTCCTACATGGAGTCATGGATACTTGTGCATGAAAAAACAGGACGACAACAGGAGGTTTTATTAAATACCGCTTCCCTTTGGGGGCAAATGAACTGTGAACAAATCAATGAGGACCATTAACAATTAGAATGATATTATCGCAATCATACTAGCATAAAATTTTAACATTATAATCATACTAGCATTCAATATCAGATTAACAAATT